AGACCTCGTCTAAATAACCGGCCAAAATCATTTGTAAGACACATACCATCTGGGATATTCAGAGGTCTTATCACATCATTCTTTAATGAAGAAGGTATTACAACGCTAACAGAAAATTCCGCCTTTGACACAGGATACCAGTGGTAAGTTGAATAAATAGACGTCTCCGTGACTCCATCCAATAGAACGCCTCCTTTTGGTAAATAACGAGTCGCTTGGAATGACTTGGACCCTGCTGTGCCGCTGGTAAAGTAATGAAAAATATGTGTTCATAACTATGAATTAGCTCGCAGAGCAGGTGTCTGGGCGAGTTGACGTTAAGAAGCGCGCGATCTTTTATTAAACCGGCCATAAAATTTGGAGTCGACGATAGAGAGGGGCCAGGGAGGGGGGGGACGAACTCCCCTACCCAGCCTCTCTCCTTATTTTTGATCGTCACCCATCCCCTTGGTACAAATGTCTTTCTCTCCCTAGCCTTCCGCCGCCATTTAATTCAAAGATGGCGGCCATTTTTAGCCAAGAAAATACTGAGGACTCGCTTGCCCAAATTACGTCTGCCTTGCAGGCTAAAATTTGAATGTAAATTTAAACAAGGAATTTAACGCAATTTTCAGGTTCTTGGGTAAACAAAAGTGTGTATACTCGCGTCGTGATATCGAGCTTGAGCGACTCTCCCTTGTGTGCACCATTTCTTCGTGAGCAACACACCGAGCAAAAGCCCTGATCTGAACAAAGGAAACACCTCTGTGTCGAAAGTTACGACTGCAACAAACGAGTAATCTTTTTAATATGTTTATAATTATTATTTGTCGGTTCCGATTGATTAGTGTTGAGTCTAGTTGACCCGTTAGTAATCTAGCCTTATGCATTTATCAATTGAAATCCCGACCCCCCCCTCCCCCACCCCGGGCCAAGGTGGTAGAGTGTGGGGAATTGTTATGGTATTTGAAGGCACGGTTCGTCCGTGGGCGTGGGGGATTTCTCAGGATTTGCTTTACACATTCATCGAGGTAGGGGAGAGGTGGGGATTAGACTCGTGCCTAGTCTTATCACGGTAATTTCTTCACGTGGTCACTGGAGTCGCTCGCTGGATTTCGATGAGCTGCGCTTTGCAGTTTTGTTCAGGCATCCCCGGATTTGAAAGGTAAGTTTCATGATTATTTTTCCTTTTATTTCATCATTTAGATTAGTCCTTTGGGATTTTGCCTTTAGCTTTCATGGTTCATTGGCTGGAAAATGTTATTGTTTTTTTAATCAAAGCTTCTCACACAATGCAGATACACGCTCTTCCACTTCTAGAGTTTATCAAAACCACGTGGTTTCTTAAGTGCTAGATTTCCTCATTCTTTAGGGTCCAAAATGTAAAATATAGCTCCTAGGAACTATTTTATGTTGTCTATTTTAATATAACATCAATTTCCCCACGTTTTGTCTTGCTACACAGGGTTCTTGCATGATATAAAATAAAAGGTGAACATAGGATTGGATATAGATCAGTATATCATATTTGGCTTTTACTTTAGCTAAATTTGTAGACTAAAGAAGTAGAAAATTTTAACTAAATGGTTATAGTCAGTCAGTGAACAGCATTCGCTTCCCCACCAAGGTGGGGGCTTTACCAGTCAATATGCCCCCAGTAGGGGAGGGGTTTCTTAAGATTTGTAATGATGTCAAATCAAATCCCCACCTTGGCCCGGGGTGAGAGGGGGGGGGTTCCGGGTTTCAATTGATAAGTGCATTATGAACTCACACCGGTCAGTACAAAATGCAGACTGCAGACATGCAGACCGGTACAAATTGCTGACTAGGAACTGAGTAATC